TAGTCAGACAACTGAAGAATTTTAGGGCTACTGGGATCTCAAATCATGCAGCAGAATTCCAAATTTCTTTGAAGATGAAACCAAGGCAAAGATGTTAATTTATTAATAGTCTATAACATAACATTTTACAGCATTTCAGGAAGCCTCCCTTAAAAGAATAACTGATGAATCCTTTTATAGAACAAATCATTATTCCGTAATGTACCTACTACCTTGATCTACCTGCTTAATATGATCAGGTAAAGTCACAGAACGTGGCCTCTCGTCAAACAGAACCGATAATCCCGGTACGCACTGTTGCTAAGGGGGACAAAGGGAAGAGAAAGGTCTTCAATCACTGGGCACTTAGGGTTTACCTCCATTAAAGTTTCTATTCTTCCCAAAAATCTTATAAAAAGTATTAGTATATTTTTTTAGTAAGGAGACAGGTTTGGAAACTTGTCCATGATCACAAAGAAAATAAGCTGTAGTTCCAGAATTGACAACAGATATATCTGACCCCTTCCACCATACCATACTTAGCAAATGATCTTGAAGAAATGTTCTCTATAAAAGAATACCACTGTGCATGTTGAGAAAATAAAGTATGAAGTATTAATCCAAAGGATCTGTAAGAGCTTTCTAATTTTACTGTGATATTTACACAAAATAGATAATAATTATCAGTTAAGTGAATAAATCTAAAGTTGTTGAAGAATATTCAATCATAAGTTCTTGGCCTGGATTCTCTTCTCTTTAGTAAGACCTTAGGCTATTGGTTTCCTCAATATTTTAAGCTCTCCCATAGTAAATCAAAATTTAAGGGAAAAAAAATATCACACAACCTTGTGTTTTGCTGTCATTGAAAATTACTGAATTCTATTCTCAGCTCAGTGAAACCATTCTTAACCTGTCCTAGCTTTCCACCCTGGCTATTCCAAATCTCCACCATTCTCCTTTCCTAAACCAATCTGCCCTCATCAATTGACCTTGATTCCTATCTACCTCTTAGAGAACCTAAGTTTGAACTCTCTAACCTTTTACCACCCAACCTATAAATATACATATCTATTCTCACTTCTTTTCTTTCTTTTTCAGTGCATCTCTCCTCCTGTCAACATTAGCACACTGCCTAGGATCACAGCGAGCACTTCGTTGATACTTACAAAATAGAAATAATTCTAGACTAATTCTTCCACCCTGCTCATCCCATCCTTTTCCTACACTTTCAGAGACCTCTATCAGCTATCTCCTCTTCTCATCTCCTACATCTTCAAACATTTCCTCTTTATTGGCTCTTTCCCTAACAGTTTATCAATCTTTAAAAAAAAAAAGAATACCTACAAACCGTTTTTAGTTACTGCCTCATCTCTTTCTTTTCTTTTCTTAAAGAGAAGTGTGCCTGGAAATTTCATATTAAGGAAGTACTGTCAAGTAAAGAGAATAATATTACAGGTTTTTTTTTTTTTTAAGAATCCTTAATTCTTTTTTAAAGTTTATTTATTTAAGTAATCTCTACACCCAAACGTGGGGCTTGAACTCACAACCCCGAGATCCAGAGTTGCTCACTCTATTGACTGAGCCAGCCAGGCACCCCAAGAACCCTTAATTTTAAAGATACATATTGAAATAATTACAGATAAAAAGATATGATATCTGAGTTTAGCTTTAAAATAATCCATTTGGGGGAAGGAGTAACAGATGAAACAAAATTGGTTATGTGTTCATTCTTCAAGGAAAGTGATGACTACATGGGGAGTTTATTATTCTATTTTCTTTTGTATATGTATTATCAAGGAAAATTTAAACTTGTTTTTCAAGTAGCCTATGCTCACATTCCTCTTCATTTTTGCAAAGTAGTTTAGAAATACTTTACAGCCACCAAATCCAATGGACATGTTTCAATCTTTACCTTACTTGCCCTCTCCAAGACACATGATACTCTGGACCATTCCAGCTTCTTACTTTCCTCTCCTTTGTTATTTGTTATGCATGCTCGCTCCGAGTCTTCTCTGCCTCCCAACCTCTCAGTCTCATTTGTGGGCACTTCCCCCACTTCCTTCCAAACATGGTCCCACTCCCCCACCCCAAAACACACACACACACACACACAATGCTATTCCTTCCCAAGAGTTCCATATTCAAACTTTTCCTTTTTCATTTCTAAACACTCCTCCAATGTGAGTTGATCCATTCTCCTATAATTTCAACTACTTATGCACATGCAAACCCATACCTCCAGCCCTGAACTCTCTCCTGAGCTCCAGATCCAAATGCATCCTTACCTGAATATCCCACAGGAACTTTGAATAAATGCTTAGAACTGAACTGACCTTTATCTTTCACTCCAACAAAACCCTGCTCCTCATCCTCTCAAATCAATGGTTTCACTATCCTCACAGACATCCTAGCCAGAAAACTAGGAATCATTTGTCTTAGGGTTCCAAAACTTTCTAGCCCCCAACTTAAGTCATATCAATTTTATCCCTTAAATACTTCTACAATCCCTGTCTTTCCATAACCCCAACTGCTTTTCAGACTTTTCTTCATTTTTCTATTGTACTTTTTCCCCCTAAAACTGGTTTCCCTATACCACTCTATTCTCCCCTCTCCAAGGTCCTTCTCCACACTGCAGCTGGAGTTATCTTTCTAAAATACAAACCCAATAACACCACTACTCCATTTGAAATTCTTCAATGGTTGCCCCCCCACCCCCCCAGAAAAAAACAAAACACTATAAACTCTTTATCACAGTACCGAGTACTTTAAGATCTGGCCTCTTCCCCCCACTACACTGCAAGTACTCTGGGATTCAGGCATCAGAATGACCTAGGGTTCTCCAAACACAGAACACTGGAATCTATCCTTTCTTCTGTTGTGCCATTTGCCTAAAATGACTTTCCTCATCTTCTCTCCCAGTGAAAGGTTACTCAACTTCCTTAACACAAGTCAAATGTCACATCATACTGGAAACTTTCCCCAATCTCCTTAGACAAAATCAGGATCTTTCTACCAATGGGTACAGAGAATGGCATCAGTGGTTGAGATCATGACTTAAATGAGTTAGACCCATCTGGGTTAAAATCCCAGGTTCAAACTTTATCAGCTGACTCTGAACAAGATCTCTCAGTGTGTTTCCTCATCTCTAAATAACAGTAGCTAGGATTTTTTATGAGGATTAAATAATGAGCTACATGCAAAATATCATACAGTGCCTCACTGAAATCAAGTATTCAATAAATGTTACTGTTATATTACCGTTTATTTCCTCTCTGGGCTCCTATGGCAACTTACACTTACCTCTATCATACTATCGTGATGACATGACTGTTTCCTCATGCAGAACACAGACTATCTTCTATCATCTTTTTATTCCCACTACCAGGCATAATACCTATAATATCATAGGTTCTTAACAAATCTTAATAAACAAGTAAAATGCTTCCAACTCCTGTACTATATACCATAAGGCCTCAATTTTTTTTTTCTAATGGTCTTTCTAAATTTACTTTCCATCTCCTTGTACAAAATTGGTACTTTAAGTAAAATTTACAAGTCAGCCTCATTTTAACTGAGAAAAAGGGCATTTTGTAGTGGCCTTGTGTTGTTTTCTTGTTGAAAACACACACACACAGGGTGCCTGGGTGGTACAGTCAGCTAAGCATCCGACTCTTGATTTCAGCTCAGGTTGTGATCTGAGGGTCGTGAGATAAAGCCAGGAGTCTGCTTAAGACTCTCTCTCCCTCTAATAAAAAAAAATAATAATAATCAAACACACACAAAATAAGCCCACTGTTCTATCAACAATTTTTCTACATACTATATAAAATAACAAATTTCTAGGATGGTTATCTACTTGTTAAAAAAATTTTAAAGGGCAATCAAGGCAGGTTTTCTAAATCTGTGTTGGCTTCCTTACCACCAGGACCTGAGCCAACTCTAAAGGTGTATTGCAGAGTATTTGTTTTTTAAGTAGAACATGGCATTTTTCATTTTGAAAACATGCTCCTGAGAAATTCTGAAGAACACTGAAATAACCAAAGAAAATAATTATTACTACCCACTGCTAAAAAAAAAAAAAAAAAAAAAAAACAAGCCTGTGCTTTAAAAATCACTAGTAAGTTAAACTAATCTTCAAAATAGAATCAAAATATATGTAGGCGGTATTCAAGCTAGTAAGTAGGGTGTGGGGGTACTCGTTCTGCAATCTTGACCCTCAATAAATGCAAAAGGCAAAACGGTTTAAAAAAAAAGATACTACTATAAAATAGCATGGTCTCTACTTCTACACTTGACCTTTAAACATTAATGCCCTTTGAGTAATTATTAATGGGTTTAATATTAATATGCAAACACCTCTGAGCTACTTCAGAATAAACATGATTAAATACCTAAAATAAACCTATTAGGGAAAGGAGACAGGCCTGTTAAAAAAGTTTCTCGGGTCTCACATCAAACGTGTGCCATACATACGGTTCGGCACCGAGAGGCAGCAACCTGGGAGGGTCAGAGGCGCCGCAGGCCCGAGGCCCTGAAGCTGGGGCGGCTGCTCATCCCTGAGACTTTGCGGGGCGGTGGCCCAGCCCAGTCGGGGTGGGGCTGAGAGCTCTTAGCCGGGGCGGGCCAAACGGCAAGGGCGGGAAGCCCAAGTCTCACCTCCACTTCCCTTTCCCAGCGCAGAGCCCAGTTCCGCGACCACCCAAGAGCCCCTGCACCACAAAGATTTTCTCTCGCCCGGTCCGCTCAAAGTTTATCAGTCTTTCCCATTGGTCAGGGCCGCCGGGCTTTGTAGTTCGCCGGTCCAAGCCACCCCGCCAAGGCCGCAAGCCTGTGGAGCCGCTAAACTACAATCCCCATAATGCCCCGCGCTCCCCGCGCTCCCACTGTTCTCCACCTCCCCTCACCGCGCCCCAGGACCCGCGCCGCCGCACTGCCGTGGCAGCGGGAGACCGGGTGGGGCTGTGAACCTGAACCCCCACCACCTGCTCTCCTGCTTGCGCCGTCTCCCTGTGATTCATTACCTACGTGGCGCAGATCGGCGGGCCGTTGGTGATGCGGTCCGGGTGGGGGTGGGGCACAGGCCGCCGCCGCCGCGGAGTCCGTTAGTTCCCGACGTGCGCGAAGAGGCGGTGGCGGCGGCGTACGGTTGCCATGGCAGCTGCAGGCCTAGCGAGGAGGGGAGCGCGGAGGCTCCGAGTCAACTCGGGGGAGGAGCCTGGGAACCCCACCCGGGTGAGGGGGAAGGGAGGCGCAAGGGCGCGTCTGGGAGAGGGAGACGGTGACATTGAGGAGGACGAGTGACTAATTGAACTCGGGTACTGCCCACTGAGCCCTGCCGCGGCAGCGTCTAATCCCCTTGGCAGGACGCGTGTCCTGGGTCGTCGGCGGAGCGCGTTGGTGCCCGCTCTATTCTGGGAGGATGCGTGTGGCGTCAGAGGAAGGAGCGCCCAGCGGCTCAGCGCCCGGCTCTTTAAAGGTCGTCCGGTCCGGCCTCTCCCCCGCCGCCTCTGCGGGCGTCCTTGGCTGGCTCTGCCGGGTGGCGTGGTGGGAACCGGAACCACCCTTTCTGGGCTTTTCACCAGCAAAACCGAGTTTGCAATCTTTCACACTTTTCTGCCACTTTCTGAGGAGTGGGCTAGAAACGAATCCTTTAGTAAGGCGTAATGCGTATGGCCTTTAGGATTATTGAGATTTGAGAACTTGTAAGTGGCACTGATTTCGGCTCAATTTTTGATGTGTAATATTTCCGAGGTAATCTTTTATGGACTCTCCCAAGACCCGTCTCAGAGATGCGGTGCAGTAGAAACAGGTTAAGCGCATGGGCTTCTAAAACCCGCTTCTCGGTTCACGTCCTGCCCCTACATTTGGTAGCTGATAACCAGGGGCAATTTACTTAACGCTCTGATGCTGAACCTTTTAATCTGCAAAGTGGAGATAATGCCTAGCGCATAGTGCTTGTGAGAAATAAAGGCATTCATGCTGATGAAGCACTGTAAAACAAAGACTGGCATTTAACAATAACTTTTAAATCTCACTTATTTAATCCTTCGTGATAAGAATCAGAAGAGTGGTACCCTGGAGGTGCGAGTGGGGTGTGACCGAAGAGGGAATTTTCGGTAGTGATGGAAAAGCTCTCTATCTTGCTTAGGGTTTGGGTTACAGAGGTATGTACATTTGTCAAAACTCATGGAATGGTACGTGTAAAATCCGTATGTTTCACTGTAAGTAAATGTACCTCAAAAAAAGAACATAAAAGTAAGATCAGTCTTGGCAATTTTCAAAAATACAATACAGTGATGTTAACTATAGTGACCAGGCTGTACATTACATCCCCAGGACTTGTTTATTTTATAACAGAAAATGTGTGCCCTTTGGCCCCCTTCATCACCCATTTAGCTCCACTACTCCCACCCCCCCCCCCACCTCTGGCAACCACCAATCTGTTCTCTGCATCTGTGAGATTGTAATTAGAGCTGTAGACTCTAATACAGACCACAGAGATGTTCTCTGTCCAATCTCCAGATTTTGCAGATAAGGAAAATGAGACCTAGAAACTTAAGTAAATGGAGAAAGTGGGGGGAAATTACCCTGTCGTTTTCTACCAATAAATGTCTCTTGAGAAATTATGATTGAAAACAGCAAGCTACTTATGTGTATGTCATCCGGTTCTCAGTCGGGGTCACCCTGTCCACAGAAATTTTGTTGAAATTGACTCAAGTCCCTTTTCCACCTCCTGTGGAAAGGCCAATGTTCTCTCCAAGATTGTACATTCCCTCGGGGCGAGGCGGGGGGGGGGGGGGGACGGGTTACAATTTCAGGGTCATTTCTGGGTCTGAGTTCCTGCTTTCTCTGAACACATGGACTCTCTCTCATCTCACCTTCTGCAACTCTTTTCCCTCCTGCTGACACACAGTTTGGAAATCAAACCCTTTTCTTCGGTTGTTTGTATAGCAGGCTCCTCTGAAGGTTTGGAGCAACTGAGGGGTTTTAAATGAAGGATGCAATAACCTAAAGTTAGAACTCCCTGGTCTTGGAAGGCCTACAGTATCCCAATGGCATTGGTATCCACCAGCCCCCGTTCTTTTTCAGCAGAAACTGCAACTCTGCACTAACCACCATCTCCCTGGTCCCATCTCTCCCTTCCTCTTTTCTCGCTTTATACAGTACTTTTAGTTACCTCTGTCTCCTAATCTCTACCTTCAGGACCACCTTCCATTCCTCAACTGGTTATCAAAGTATTTTCCAACACAAAGTACTTGCCCCAAGAGAACTCTGGTGCTGGCTATTAAAATCATATGTTAAAACTCAGTATATATCTGCATATTCTATTTGATTCAGCCCAAAGTATACTCAATAAATATTAAGCTTATGCACATGACCTGTCTAGGCTACCTGCATAGTGGGTTCAATTATGAAAACTATTCGGTATAAATGAGGAAGCAGTTGATAGTAGCTAGAACCTCATGTCGGAGAGAAAGAAAAACTAAAGTCTGTGAGCACAGCTTATATTGTGCAGAAGTAATGACAGCATTCAAGCAATAAAATCCAGAACAAAATCTGAGTTAATACTTAATAGCAATAATGACATCCTTATAGAAGCAACACCTGGGTTTGTCACCTCTAGCAATTTGATCACAACTCTGCATATATAATGAGCATATAAATAGAGTCTCCTTTACTCCTGGAGAAGATGATACGGATCTGCTCTCAGCTGAACACATGTTTTTGTAGTAGGGATGATAGGTTCACCCGATCCATCCATCCCTCATCTGATTTCCCTTGTGACTTGTACTTACAAGGCAGCTGGCCAGGGTTGTAGTGCAGTCTACAGTCATGAAGAAGTCTGCAAATGCAAGGCCCCAAATACATAACCCTCCTTGTTTTTTGAAGTCAGAATCCCAGAGAAGCAGCTCAGCAGGACAAGCCACTTAGGAGAATGACGACAGCAGTGATAGGCAACAGCTGCCTTCAAGTAAGCTGAAGGAGGATGGTCACACAAAGGAAGACCATGAGCAGGGCCTTAGAAAACCTAGCATGGCTATGGACAGTTGGGAAGGAATGAGGACCGATAATAGTTTATTGTTTCCACGGGAGACTTTGGATTAGTTCAAGTAATAAACACACTGTGCAAATCTGAAAGTAATAACAGATGAATCTACATAGACAATATGGTCATGAGCCATTGCCCTCATTAAAGAGACTTAGAACATCTAGGGGCGCCTGGGTGGCTTAGTCAGTTAAGCATCTGCCTTCGGCTCAGGTCAGGATCTCAGGATCCTGGGATTGAGCCCCACATCGGGCTCCCCGCTCAGCAAGGAGTCTGCCTCTCTCCGTCTTCCTCTGCCCCTCCCCCCTCTCGTGCGCAAGCTCTTTCTCTCTCAAATAAAAATCTTAAAAAGAGAAAGAGAGACATCTGGTTCAAAGTCTGACATTTTTCCTCAGTTCTCAGTCTTGACCGGTATAGCATTTGACTTTGCTGGTCACCCTCCTTAGTGGCTCACAACCTTGGTTCTCCTCAAAGCCTACTTCATCGTGTTATTCACCACCTCTTCTACCTGCTCCTTATTTGTGGAAATAGCTCCCAACATTCAATCAATACACCCTCTCCATGTATAGCGTTTCATCTCTCAGCTCTGGTTGACACTCAGATTTCCCTCACTAGTTCTGATCCCCAAGCTCCAATACTGCCCCGAAATGCCGTGCACTTCCTTATCTTGTTCTATATACTGTTTTCTTCACCTGGAATGCTATCTCCTTACCCTAAATTCCACCTCTTCTACAAAAACTAACTCGGGCCTCTACATGAAGCCTTTCCTGATCATTCCTGCTCACAATCATATCATCCTGCTCTGTACTCACAACACTTCCTGCCTGTATCACCCACTTAGACAACCAACCGTACCGCCTAGTGGTAGTTCGTGTGTTGTTTACTCATTGGCTTTTGTCTTTTCTCCTCACTGATTTCAAGCTCCTCTGATGTACATTTCTGGGTATTTCCAAATACATCTTTATAATACCTTTCATGTAAGGACACAATATTTTTGATTGATGGCTCCTTAACTTTTCTCCTGAGTTATACCTCCTCTCTCATAGCTCTCCCCCTTCTAGTGCTATAAAGGACATTTACAACCTCCTAATATAAGTTTCCCTAAAGCCTATGGAAAAGTGTGGGCCCCCATATATATTCAGTGGATGGGTAACCTTAGGAGGCAGTTCCTCTAGGTCACTTGTAGTATGGAAGGAGTTCAGGAGGTAAGTGGCACTGAATTCCAACGCTCAAAGTCATGGACTAGGTCCTAGAGCAAAGTTTAGTAGGTCATGAAATCAATTTCATGCATCCTCTCCAGCTTTTTAATGTTTAAAATGGAGTAGGGTAAGGTAGAATCAAACAGAAGCAATAGGGACAAAATGCAGAGTGTATGCACATAGTTCCAGTCAAGTACTGGACAACAGTCGGTGGACTTTCAGCTTCAAACCTACCCTCTCTCCTGCTTTGTGCTGATGGAGCTGGAACTAGGCAACCCTCATTTCTCCTTTGTCTGCTGACTCCTGGGTACACTAGGGAAGAGCACAAGGCTGGAAGAAGAGGAAGCCCCTCGCTCACATGGTTGCCTCCTGTTAGATTACTGTCAGCATCACCCCAGCAATGGCCTAATAGCCTGGTGCCAGTAATTGCTGTCCCAGTTTCTAGTGGCACTTCCAGAACCACACTCATGGCACCTCTCCTCCCTCCACCCCAGACTTACCCGCATGGTCAGGTGTGCCTTTCTTTAGAGGTCTGGGTCCCATGTCTATGGTGCTGCTGCTCTAGGAGGCTGGGTTCTGAGAACACCATCCTCCTCTCTGCTCTCTGACCTCTGACCCCAGAGGCTGTCACTGCTTTGCAGTCATGACTGACATGTTACTCCAGCATTCTCTTTCAATTTTTACAACCCTCCAACATCTACTTAATTCCCTCTGTTCAATTCTCTCTGTTGAAATACTTCCTCTGCTTTCTTTTTTTTTTTTTTTCCAGATTTTATTTATTTGCCAGAGAGAGCACAAGAAGGGGGAGCGGCAGGCAGAGGGAGAAGCAGGCTCCCCACTGAGCAGGGAGCCCGATGCGGGACTCAATCCCAGGACCCTGGGATCATGACCTGAGCCGAGGGCAGCCGCTTAACCGACTGAGCCACCCAGGCCTCCCTACTTCCTCTGGTTTCTTTTCTCCTGACCCTAACACATATGGATTGGGAAGTAAAATATATTTCCTGCTGTGAATGTTGGTCCAAAA